AGATATAGGGCAGTCGGGTATATATACGAGGGTGACAACGTGACAGAGGGGGGTAATGTATGTGTGTAGATAGTGAGTAATTGAACTGCAGTCACAGGGTATTGTTGAAGTTAATGTACGTTCGTTATAGTGTTTGTTTTAGCGCGAATATTGAAATTAAGTGTATCGTAAAGTTGTATTCGGGAAGAATAAACCAGTTTTATTAAGTAAGGACTTGTGTCGCTAAAGTTTCGTCGGAACGAAGTTACGGAAAGTTAATTAACAAACGGAGACGTAACAATATTAAAGAATTTGACGCCATCTGCGGACAACATTTTCATCATCCTTATTCGATAATTTAAATTTAATTTTTAAATTTATTTATCTCAATAGATTCACGTATATTCATACCAATTAAATTTCCAGGTGGTGCTAAAATAACAGTTTTTCCCATTGAATTGTGAGATTAATTTCACTAACATGTTCTGCTAAAGGAGAAATAGTAATATTATTATTTTTAACATTTTTTTGTGTTCATTCAGTCCGAATTTTAAATTTCTTCTAGTCTGTCCTATATAAATTTTTTATATTCACATAATATTTTATATATGCCAAATTTTTCCATTAAATCAATTTTATCTTTAGTTTTATTAAGAATTTCGCTGACTTCGTTTATCTGTTTGTATATCAGAAAAATATTTATTTGTTTTTAAAATTTTTTAATTATTTGACAAGATAAACCAAGCATATATGATAGTATTAAACATTCTTTCTTACTTTTCTCAGCAAATGGATTTAACTTAATATTGTTACGCCTCCGTTCGTTAGTTAATTTCCCGTATAAGAACTTTCTTAAGTTTCTAAGAACTTGAACTTTCGCGACACAAGTCCTTTCTTAAATAAAACTGGTTTATTCTTTCTGAATACAACTTTGCAATACACTTAATTTCAACGGTCACACTATAAGTTAAACAAACGCTATAATTCACAACGAACAACTCACGTTCTCGATTCAACAATACGTCTCTCTCTCTCTCTCTGTCCGCAGTTCAATTACATTACATTACATTCCGTCACGTCTTGACCGTCTTACATATACAAAACTACCGCATATCTAGTATGCTCTCGAGCATTCAGGAAGGGACGTGAACGTTCTTGAAGTGCATGACGTGTTACTAGCGTCACGTGACCTCCGCTGTCGTAACAATATATTTATCCTAATTTTTTAGTTTTATGACAGCGCTGTCAACAACATCTGGATTAAAACCTCTTTCCACTGCTATGTGCTTAATGAACAATAACTCATTATTGATATCATCCTGTTTACAATATAATTTTAATATCCTATCCACATAAGAGTAAAAAACACAGGTTTTTGAGATGTAGTGTGACATGATTGTTGATGTGGTGGAATGATTACAGAGAAAGGTTTACGATAAGTGGCAGTTTCCAATTTATCCTTATTTTTACTCACTAAAACATCCAAAAAAAAGGTAAACAAACATTTATCTCAACTTCATTATTAAATCTTATAGAATTATCAATGTTATTAAGGTAATTAGCAAAATTAGCTAGTTCATCTTTACCATACCACACTATTAAATGTCTGTTTCACTGTGAATAAATCTCGATAGATGACCATTGCTGCTGTTACTAGTGTTAACGTCTCAGAATCAATATCCAGATCACAGGCCTGTTTGAGTGTTGCTCCAATGTCTTGATCAAATGCTAATAGGACCTCTCTGCCTTGAGTGTGGGCTCTTAAGTCTGGAATTGCTACCAATATTCGATTCTTTAGCCTCGTGGTATGCACCTGTAATGCCTGGATACCAAGTTCCTACAGTCTCCTTAGATCTGTCATACTGAATACCAGTTTTGCTTTTGTTGAATCTTGAAATGTTTCAATTTGTGAAACTAGCTCAGCAAAGGCTATACCATGTAGAGAACTTTCACATGAACTAGGTGCTGTATCTCTACTTACCTGTTGTACATGTTTGTATAGCTTAAATAAACATTTCATGTGGTATTGGGCATCATTTGCCAACATATATCAACCACCTGCAAGTTTTGCCAACCATTTTTTGTAATTGAGTTCTATTGAACACTTCCGTACTTTGAAATCATTATTGATGTTCATACCTGATGAAGTCCAGCAGAACCAGCTACATCAAAACAAAAGATACAAAAATCTATCTGTTCTTTCTGCTTGGTTTCAGAACTGGATCTTTTAGTTTTTACAGGACTTGCCTCCTTTGATTCCTCATACCTTCTCTTGCGTGCCGTTTCAAGATTCAAACTCCTAATATTGATTCTACATGGCTTGTGCCATGCAGTATTGTTGTCACTTCCACCACAGAGCCTGCATCCAGCTCTTGTATATTTACACTTGCATGCATTCCATTAAGGCCATGGAACTAGAGAACATTTTCAACAACACATTTGTATCTAGCTCCAAGATCTTTTCTCTCAGAGTTTGCTGAACATTCTAAGGGCTCTTGTGTTTCAGTCTAGCAAAGGATACACGTTTTCCAGTCAATAGGATCGACAGTCTCTTTGTAGGAGCTTGGCCCAGCAGTATGTACAAGCTTGCAGTGTTTTGACATAGCTACAAGTTAGGTCCGCCTTCTAAAGCTAATCTAGAGCTAAGTACCATCCCCACTACAATGTCTACATTCAGTATTTCAAGGTCTGGGTAATATGTTTCCTATGAAAAACCTTGAAGAAAACCAAACAAAGATAAGAATGAATTGTTGTGATGCATTTATAGCGGATGAATGATTAGAGCAATACATTACACGCCTGGATGTTTATTGTTTCACAGAGTCAAAAACTACTGCATATACTAATCAAATTTCAATGATTTTTCAGTTAGAAGTGCCAAGAAACTTCAACTACATTATTCAAGACATTCTAGTTTTTGAAGTGATATAACTTCACCTTATAAGAAGTATATGTACAAAATATCAAACATTACAACAAAAAAATACATTTGTCACTCTCATTGCCACCAGAGGACATTGTTGACTGGATTCCACATCCAAAATATTCAAGTACGGGTCAATGTATAAATGTGCCAATTTTCCCGTTTTTAACCCAAAGTGCACGATTTTTTGCTTAACCGCCCGCTATAACTTTTAGTATTGTTCCATGATTCCGTATAACCTTATTTAGAGGGCTTAGGCTGTGAGGTTCTAAAGTTAATTCAGTTCACCTGAATATAACACAAATATTTATGTGCGCTGTTCGATTATTCCGTAGTTATTCAGTAACAGCGTTTCTCGTTTTCTCTTCTCCGCTCAGTTTGATTGTTTGGGTACATTCTCACGTTGGAATTTATTGGTAGCGTTTGAGCAATCGTGGCAACGCCAAGGGAATAGGGCATTTTAATTAACAAATGCTGATAATAAGCATAATAAATTTTCAGAGTAAGGTTCGTTCATTTTGGGATAGGACGTAGAACCACTTTCCCGACTAGGTTTTAAATAAAATTATTATAAATATTGATTAATAACACGGGTAAGTAATCTGATCATCAAATTTCTTTATCAATATAACTTTATTAGTTTATATATAACTTATATTTTAAGGCTATCTTAATACTAATTACTATATTGCTATTTAAAATTAGAATTACTACTATAATAGTAATATTGTAATGAGTAATATAATAAAAGATAAAGTTCAATCGAAATACCGAAAGCTGATGGTACAGCCATTTGATTTAGAAATCAAAAGCATCAAATTTATTCATGATAAAAATCACGTTAATTAAGGGGGAATATAACATTTGAAGCTAATGTGATTTTTGACACAAAACGTAGTCTAATATTCAGTGGCGGATTAATGAGATGACAGACGGGGCTACTGCCCGGGGACCTGAAGGAAATGGAGGGCCCCAAAATTTTGGGTAGGATATTGTATGTAAAGAGTATTGTTGAAAAAGGAAGAAATATTAAACAGAAAATAAGTTGTTGTTTTTTTTTTTTCTTTTAGACTTGGAGTACTATTTGAAATTTTATTATAGTTAGGAATAAATATTTTTTCAGATTTTTGTTGCTTTCTTAAAGTTTAGTTTAGTGGATCTGATGGTCCCTTTTGTCCATAAATTTTATGTTATGTGCTGGTTTTCGCTGGTGTCAATGGACTTCATTCCATAACTAAATAACCCTTTGAGAAAAATTAAAAAAAAACCTTAACTGGAACTTGTCATTTTGAAATCTTAAACTTGTGTCTTCTTGTCCTATTATTTTCAGAACATAGCACAGAGAAAGTAAGGGCTTTTATCCCATAAACCCCTCAAATATTCTTGTAAAATTCAATAAGATCACTACTTATCTTTCTTTTTTCAAGAAAAAATAAACGAAGAGATTCTAACCTATCCATGTAAGATAACCCTTTCATCCCAGGAATTATTTTAGTTGTCCTCCTTTGAACCTTTTCCAATAACTCAATTTTCTTTCTTAGATAAGGAGACCAAAATAATTCCAAGTATTAAAAGTGAAACCCAACTTGTGATTTGTGTTAGAGAGATAATTAACTCTTTTAATGTATAATAAATATGTCTGTAAACATACCTTAAAACTCTTTTAACATTACTACTAGCAACAAAGCACTATGCCAGGATCCTTTCCCTCAGTCATGCTGTTGAGTGGGTTCCTATCAATATTGATTATGTGGTCCAAATTATGATAATGCAAGTACTTTATTTTGCATTTACTATTAAAGGTCATTTTTTAAATATTTGTCTGACTTGCAAGTTGACCTATGTCACTGTGTAATACCTCAACATTCTCAGTACAGGTGCATGTAGAAATACTCAAGTGTTTAATGTTATCAGCAGATATTGCTAATTTACTAAATATTCCTCTTTTAAATATCATAATGTAAATAACAAAGATCAATGGCTTAAGCACTGTCACCTGAGGTATTCCACTAGTTTGACTGGACTCTGTTAACAACATTTTGCTTTTATTGGTTATCTGTTCAATTTAGTGCTTTTTTAATATTATACCAGTCACATCAGGTTTTGTCTGCTGCTTAAGAGATATGTGACTACAAATAATGAGGGCTGGAATGGTAACTTACATTTAGGAGAGAGAAAAAAAAAAGATCAATGTTTCCAGTTGTCCTTTTTGTAATATCTTTTACTTATCTTTTTACATTTGTTCTTTAACACTTTTTTTCTATGTTGTTTATAAGCCTGTAAAATAGTTTGATATGTTTCATTCCTTACTAAAATGAAAATGTGACCTAAACCTCAGCCAAGCTTCTTTCAATTTAGAAAGTTAACTAAAATCTGGATTTTCAACAGCTGAGGTGGAGATTTGATCCATGTTCAATATACAAGTCTGTGGTATTTTGTGAGAACATGACGTACACAGATCATCTATAGACTCGAAAAACGTATACACTACACAGATATATATCTGAGTAATAGTTCTTTTCACTATAAAAACACATTTAAAAAGTGGTTCCATTATTTCAGTGATTATCAGTATACACCTCAAAGATAGCTACCACCTCACTCTGTTTTTATTTACTATGGGTATTTAGGGGATCTTAGGCAAGTGTAAGCTGGAAACAGTTTAATGTTTATACTTGCTTTGGATGTTTACAGACTTTTCAGAATGGAAGAGCTATAAAAGGTTTTATGTTTTGTTCAAAATAGTAGTTCATATACAGGGTTCAGTACATTATTAAAAAAAATGTTAGAGCCTCACCATGTCATTACAAATAGTCATAATGTATCTAATGACACTGCTTCTTAACAATTTTTTGCAGTGTAGTTTCCATGGCAAAAGGCTATGTCATGTGGTTGTCATGTCCAAAAGACACCACTCTTCCCTGCTGGATTTCCATAATCCATCTAGTGTATGAAGATGACAGTTTTCCAGCACCTGTTTCAACAGTCTGATCGCACAGAAATCCGTAGGTGCTGCATCTAGCAACTTGACTAATATGTTTTCGTACGGACATCATGAATACCTGTTTCATTCTCCAGTTACTTGAGGTATACAACAGTTGAACAGGAGCTATGATTGGAAGTCTTATCTTGATGTTCCCATACTATGTTGACCTTGTTCCTAGGACGAGATCCTTTTCTATTATGTTGCATGCTTTTGCCTGGGTCATGTGGAAAGCTCTTGTCACTAATATTTGTGTTCATAGATTCTCACCTGCTACAAAAATGTAGCACTTTGCTTATAACAGCTAGGTCTGTTTCTGGGTGGTCCTGGTACTCCAAAATGATCCACATACCTTTATTTACCAATGCAGTTTAACATGAGGAATATCCCCATCTTGGAAAATTTGAATCCATGGTCTGAACACATCTTTATGATCTGGGTGTTTTTAAAATGTTCTAATATTTAAATATTTATTTGTCATGGAAAATATCTATCTTTTATCTTGTATTAATATTAACATCTCTTTGTTGCTGGTATTTTTTAACAAAATTAAATGCTTATTATTCTTATGTGACATACTGTTTGCTCTTTTCATATCCTCCTTCAAATATACGGATGTCCAACATTCTTTGAAAAAAAAAGATGAAACAGTATTGTATGCAGAAAAATTTATCAATTTGCATACCAGCCTCATTTTTGATTCTATTTGTGTGTGTGTGTGTGTATATATGTGCATTTCAGTTTGTTTTTTATTAAAAAATTAACCACACTCTATTTTCTGCATAGAAAATTAGCATGAAATAATGATAATTATTTAAATAATATTTGATAAATGTTCAGTGTTAACTAATTATATTCAAATTTTTCACATTAAATAAGGTTGATGATGGCTACAGGTCGTCTTCCTCCTGTTCAACGTGTTGGAGCATCTCAATTTGATGTCACAGAAAAGGAAGAGTGGAAGAAATTATTACAGATTCAACAGCACTTGTCAGTAACTGCTCTTCGCTCATCAGTCTTTAAACCAAACTTTACTATTAATGATAAGAAAACCATTACAAAAACTGTTGAAACTGAATTTAATACCAGAAGACTTTGCTGCAGTGTTACATCCTTGTTTGGTGATCAGAAAATATTCTTAAAGTCATGTGAAGCTTTAGAAAGACTGGCAAAAGTTTTACAAGGGGATTTTTATGTTTCAGCTGAACCTGCTTGGGTTAGTGAATCCGAAAACTTAGTAAAATTAACTGAAAATGAGATCAAGCATATAACTCAATTACATTGTCAGCTTAAAACTCTTCTTACTAAGCGATGTTTTTCTGGCATTAGAAGAGAATGTATCTTGTGCATGAGGAAAGCACTAAAATTTAAATTAGAGACAGAAATGATAGCACTTAGTGAATGGAAGAAACTATTGTGTGTGAATAGTGGTGTTACAGGAAATATAAACTTACATTTATGTTATACTCCTGATTGGATGAGAGAGGTGGATTCACAAGTTAATATGTGGCTGTCACTATTGAGAACTGCCAATAGGATGTTAGGGATAGTATATTTACAATGGGAGCCGGCACTAGAAAATTTACTTACCAGTACCAGTAGGTTTTTATCAAAATTAGTAAATGAAATTCTTCATTGGGTTCAGCACATCCTGTCTATAGATCTAATACTGTTATGCCAGATGGAAATTTTTTGGCTCACATCTGACATTCTCCATGTTTTGTTTCAGTCTTTCGAGAGACTATCAAAACTTCAAACAGAGTTTTACAAGACAGTTTCACCAATTGCATCTGTTGTTTGTTTGGAGAGGCCTTACTGTGAACTGTGCAAAAAAGATGCCATTTCATTTTCTAATGTATTTATTTTGCTAGCCACTCAACAAGCTCAGCTCTCAGCAAAGAAAGTAGCAAGTTATCTGGTATTTCAGGTTAAAAAAAACAAACCTGAGAAAGTCAGTAGTTCAAGTAAGTCAAAAACAGTAGATACTTCTGACTACTGTAGTGCAGAAGGAAGTGAAGTGAATAAGTTGGAGAGTTACACCAAACGAGAAACTGGTGAAAATCAAAGTGAGAAGCTAGGAAAGGACTTAGTTGTTTCTGTGTCGTCTGTTTTACATACAATTACTCATTGTAGTCAAACTTTGCTGCTAAAGTTTCTGTTTGCATTTTCATGTGCTCAGACATCCCAGTCTTATCTGGACACACTAATTGAAGGACAACACTCAACCAAACTCCCTGGTTAGTTGGTACTTTTTCTCTTTTAAATATTTTCTTAATGTTTTAAATGGTTTTATGTTATCAGATATCTCAAAATGTTAGGTTTATCCAATTGAAAAGCAATTTGTTATAGTTTTGACTGTAAACAACAAGAAAAAATTAATCCATCATTTTTGAAGGTGTCCATGGGTATTAATGATGAGAAAGAAACTAAATTTATGTGTAGGGCTTGCATTGTTTTTTAAAAGTCATATTTTCCTTCATTTAATTTTTATTTTGTTTTATGTTTTTTATTCCCATTTCTGTTGACATATAATATTGCCACAATAATTTTGTCCACTTTTATCATATAAATATGCCAAAGTAAAAATTGTTGAGTGTTTGAAACATCCTATTCATGTCTTTAATCATCTCATTTAAGCATGTCACACACGTTAGGCCTTAGACTGCTAATCATGACAACTTTCTAAGTATTCAAATAAAGCTTTGATCAAAGTTGTCATCTTCCACATTACAATTATGTTAAGATTGCTTAGTAGGAATTCTGTGAAAAATAAAAAAATTATCACAAAATACTTGCAATCTGCAGTACAAGTACTTTTTGCTTCAATAGTTCTATTTGGAATAGCCATTAATATAGGTAATCTAAGGATTGTGTGATATTGCATTAAGTCTTCTGTTTCATATAAAAGTGGGGTATATTTCACTCTCAACCAAGTTCTTACTTTGATTCTGTCTTTATTTCCACTCCAACACCCAGTAGAAGTCATATACTGTGAGTTAGAAGCTGGCCAATCAAGTGAAAAACTTTCACTATTTGTGTGAAAACAGGTTTAGTTTTTTTGTACAATTATGTATTCTTATTTCCTTTGCTGTCTGTGTTTGAAATATTACTTACATAATATTTCCAAAACCTGCATTCTGCACATACCTGCATCTTATCTGTTGGATATCAGGGTACAGAATACTATATTTGCAGTTGTATAAAATTTGCAATAAAAAAAGGTAGATGTAATAATTTGAAAAAATACTGATTATATTTTATCCCCCTTTTTTTTGGGCATACAATTTAATTTTTGTTTATGTATTATATGAGTAATTCTGGATACCACCATCCAATCACATTGTTGATCTTATATTTATGAGGGATGAAACTATGTTTGAGGACCTTTCATATTTCTGTTTGGTTGGAGAACTTGCTTTGTTCTAGTACTTTGATATTACTGCATTTAAAATCTTCTTAAAATATATCAAAATATGATATGAGTGAAAACATGAAATGCTTATTGTTCTCTTAGAAATATGCTTTATTACAAAGACATTACCATGTACTGTCTGCCAGAATTAACATCACATAAGAATGTACTCATTGAAATGCCTTTTCAAATACTTACAAATATATATGTAGATACTGCCTTGTCCTATTGTGAATAGAGCTGGGTGATTAGTAGAATTTGATAATTATCTGTAAACTTATTAGTCAATTACATTCAACTAATTAATTATTCTCATATTAGAATTGTATAGTTGAAATAATGGAAAACGGTAATAATCGGAAACACTGATTTTGATTAGTTGATTATTTTCATAAGTCATGACACTAGTTGTTTAAGTTGAAAACCTCAAGTTTATCAAATAATGAAAATCGTATGACTTTTTTATTTGCATGTATTGTTGCTAAATATGTTTTATTTCTGAAAGATTAGTTTAAATTGGTAATGTATCTAAAGTAGTGTACTTTAACCATAATATCTTGTATATCATTTTTCTTTTTTGCTCTCCAGCTTTTAGCTTTTAATTGTTAATAATTACCTTCTGTCACTAGAAATTAAATAGATTTCTGTTGCCAGTTGGATTTGTGATTACTTATTGCAAATGGTATAGTGGACTTTATATTTCCCCCAAAGGGTAACATTTTGTAGTCCTTTTTTTCTTTAAATACTGTGATATATTACTACTAAATGAGTTATTTAATCCTTACAGTTATGGCACTATAGCAAAGTAGTCCTCTGATACGATACCTTACCTCTCTGTGCACAAATGTATTGCTCACTATTGATCTTGATACTCCTGCCTATCCCACGTGTTTGACATGGTACAGCTGTGTTGTAGCATGAAAATTAATACATCAATAGGAGTGCAACACACCCTCCTGGTACAGCTGACTCCTTCTATACTGTATAACCCACTCTTCACTTCTTGATTTGGCACAGTAGTGTAAAAATGTGTTCAAATTTCACCTGTGTTTGATTTAACTTTAAAAATATTTTTTTTCAAGACCTTTATTGTTTGTGCTTTTGATTTTCTTTACAGTTAAATTTGAATTACTGTATGTTGTTGTTTTTGTTATCCATTCTCATTTGAGTTATGAATTCCAAATTTCAAAGCATGGCTACTACCATTGTAGTTAACACTACTACCACATCTCAACCTGCAGTTTCTCAGACTTCAAGCTTGACACTTTTGGCTGAGGAGGTTTCAGTTTAGGATGTTGTGATTTGGTGTCCATTATGTAGCCTGTGGTGTCTTTTGATTCCAAACTAAATGTTCCCTTTCTTTGTGAGCCTGGACAAGATGATGATGATTTGGATAGACTTTTTTCTACCTCCTTCCTCTGTCATGCAATCCCATATTCCCACTGTGGATGCCCCCAGGCCATCTTCAGTCTTTCTGAATATAGTGTCCCAAGTATGTTACCTCTTGTCTGTGTCTCCTGTGTTGTATGACTCCTCTCCTTCCCTTTTACATTCTGCCCCTTCCTCTGACTACTTGGTTTTCCATCCCTCTTCAGAGATTGGGGTCCATGCTGACCAGTTTGTGGCACAGTTAGATTTTAGGGTCAACATGCCTCGTCTCCTTTGTACCTCGGATAATTATACTTTGGCATACTATTAAGCAGATTTTCCATTTCTCAACTCTCAAACCATGGAGTTTTTGATCCAGGTGTGAGGTTCTGACCCTGATTCCTCTGTGAGATTTACTCCAGCCCAATTGTCCCACCTTTGTTTGTCCCTTTCCACCCTTCGGAGATACCTTTTTGTCATCCATCTCCTGGCTGAGGCTATCCACTTTTCTTCTTAGGGGTTGTTTGAGGGTACTTTCTCCCTTATATATTCCACATTGGTGCATTTGTCTTCCTTGAACCTTTCCTGTCAAATATGACTCTTCTGTTGTTGGGATCTTCTGGGTAGGGATGCACTTTTAACTAATGTGCACCTACTCATGACTTATCTTTATGGGACCTTCGTATGGCTCTGTTTTTACCTAGAACAGTTTTTGGAGATCTTCTCAACTCTTTGGAGTCCTAGGTGGAGACTGCTCCTCAACACTCTTCTCTTATGTTATTGTTCTCTTGCCTATTGCAGCTTTGTCCTGTTCTTGTTTCCATTTCCCACCCTTCTCCTTCTGCACCTTTGTCCGTTCTTCTTTCCCGGGTTTCAGGGGCTAGCTATCAGATTACTCATTTCTGCCACAAACAGTACCTGCATGTCGATTTAGACTGGTGGTTCAACAGAGACAAACTACAATGGGTGTATCTCTTTTGCCTCCCAATACTGAATTGCATCTTTTTACAGATGCTTCTCTGATGGGGTGGGGAACATTTCTAGATAAACAGGAAATCTTGTGTTGTTGTTCTTATGTTGAGGTGACTGTGCATCTCAATATGCTGGAGATTCTCACCCTTCATTGGGCTCTGGATCATTTCCTGCCTTTAATATGAGACAAAATGGTCATGAACCATTCTGACACTTCAACTGTCGTCTAGTATATCAATTGACAAGGGGCACCTGTTTATGTATGCTCTGTTTCCAGATGTTTGAACTCTTTTTCTGGGCCCAGTCATATCACACATGCCTATTGTTCTGGGTGCTCTGAATCTTATTGCAGATCGATTGTCTTATCCCGAAAATATTCTCCCCATGATATGGACCCCCCCCCAATCCTCAGGTGTTTCAGTGCTTATGCAATCAATGGGGTATGCCTCTTCTGGATGCATTTGCCTTCTATCTCAATGCCAAGCTACTCCTTTTTTGGTTCTCGATCTCATATCCTTTGGCTTTGGATGCCTTCAGTCAGAATTGGTCCCATCTTTGCCTATCCACCTGTCCATCTCCTTTCCCTAGTTTTACTCATTGTCCAGTCCACTCTGTGTCAGATCCTTCTTGTTGTACATTGTTTTGGCCTGCTCAACCTTGATTTCTGGTTCTTCCCCTCCTTCAGTCAGTACCTCTATTATCACTACTGCCACCGCCTCCCTCCTTTGACAACCTCAGTCCCCAGTGTATCATCCCAATGTCACCATACTCTGGCTTCACGTGTGTCATTCATCTGGTCCCTTGTGAGGCAGTCTGGGCTCTCCACATAGGTAGCTTCCATTCTTTCCTATACCATCTGTCCTTCCTTCTTATGGGTGTATCAAATAAAATGTTGTGCATTTTGCCAGTGGTCTGCACCATGGTTACCTCCCTTCCCATCCTACTGTTCCTCATTTGTCTGATTTTTTTACCTGGCTGTTTTAAATTGGTTTTTCAGTTTCTATCATTGCCAGCAACAGAGCAGCCTTGTCCAATACTTTCCATTTCTCCCATTCACGTTGAGTGTTTTCCTCTCTGGTTCTCTTCCTTTTGTTTCATTCCTTTCGTCTCCTTTGTCCTCTTCATACTACACCCCTTCCTGATTGGGAAGTAACTGTTGTTCTCCATGCCCTTACCCTCCCTCCTTTTGAACCCTTGGTCACCTGTTGTCTATACCAATCTTCCCTCAAGAGATATTTTTTGCACCTTTTTGCCTGCAGCCATTGTAGGTCGGATATTTTTGCTCATGATTTATCACGTGTCCTTTATCACCATACCTATGTTCTTCTGTATCTGGATCACAGTTTTTTCCCAAGTCATCGGTGGCTTGTGAAGGTGATGTCATATTCACCCCTATTTCCCTCCTTTCTATTTTCCATTTATATTTCCTCTCTAATCTGAATTCTCCTCTGTCCTGTTAATCCTCTACAATGTTATATGGCCTAC